TTATTGTCCTGAGTGCTTCAGTCCTGAAGGACTTTCTGACCCTTTCCCATACATGGTCTTCGCAATCATTGGCAATAGAAACTTGACTTCTTAAATAAAACTCATATCCTCTGCTTCTCATTTGATTCTAGAAGTTTTAATGATAAAAAAAATCCTCAATATTTTGATAACACTGTCTGCTGAGCCATGCTGCAGGGTATAATGGATTTACTTTGAGTGGGATTAGAAAGCAGAACAAATTAACTGAAAGCAAGCCATGTTACAGTCCAGTAAAATTAAACACTCAGGACTTCAGGAAAATATCTGTGCAGATATTTTTTCCCATAGGCTTACTATGCAGTCAAGCTTGTATCATGGGAGATTTTTAATGTGTGACCTTCATAGCCTACCATGCAGAGCTGCTGTGGGGATTAACTAGTTAAGATTTGTAAAGTGCTTTGAAGATTATAAGGCATTAAGTTGCACAAGTGCTAAGCACTATTATTTAATACTTAAGTACAACTAAGCTTTACACGACAACTCATGTTCACCTCACTAGAAAGAATCTTTGTGATTTCTTTGTGATTTCAGTACAGTTGTTGCAAGAGGTAAAGCAAGCAGAACTGACCACAAAAGAGAGAAATTTCATTCTTATTTCACTATCAGAGAGAGATACAACTGTAGTGGTATTGCAGAAAAATTAGTTGAAAAATAATTATTATGAAATGCAATGATAGAAGTCCACATAAAAATGCAGGGTTCCTTAATGTGCCAGTACTGTCATTTTTACTATGTCCTATCTTGTCCATGTAGATCCACAGACTATTCTCCAGGAAGTAGAACTCAAAATTCCAGACCTATAGATGCACCAAATTTATCAGCAGAAAATGCTGCCAAGTGATCGTAGGAATGGGTAAAATCTGTACATTGATAAGTTATACTTCATACATATTTTAACCTATTTAAGTCAAAATTTTGGAAGAAAGATGAACACAGACTGTTGTATTGAGTAATCAGATTGGGAACACCTTGTTTTGATACAATTGCTTTGTTGGGTTTCCTTTTGATATAAACTTTCTTTCTTATTTTGTAATGTCAGTTTTCAGCAGCAGGAAGTCATTGGGATTTTTTGTGGTAGCGAAGGGACAAAGTATTTGTTAATAAAATAAAAATGCAAAACAGGAAAATATGACATAATTGTGCACCTAAGTATGCTGGAGATAGAGGAAAACAAGTGTTTCAGGACTGCTGACAGGCACATAGTATAGAGGTTAAGGCTGTTGGACTCTGAGCTGCATCCCAGCATCCTGAAGCCGATTATTTGGCATGCAGAGAAGGAGGGTTGTGTTTATTTACCTTACAAGGACTAATTATTATTCAATGGAAGTGTATTTTCAGGACAAAGCACTTAGTACTTGCATTTCTTGCCTCTGCAAAAGTGCTGCAGATATTTCACAAGGACAGATTTTTCAAGTACATGCATTTCCTCTCTGTGGCTAAAAATAAAGATTACTTTTCTATAGTGTTTTCATTTTGATCTCAATTGAAGCATATAATAAAAATTCAATTCACTGACTGTCTCCAGTATGACTTGAAATCCAGCTTTAGAGATAAGTAAAGGTAAAAAAGGGAAAACAGAAAGTGAATAGTGTACTTGCACAACACAGATTCTTGTCCATTCCTGTGTCAAGGAAGCTACAGACCCCTAACACTTCTCTTCAGAAATCATAAACTTTAATTCCTCTATTAAGTTAATTACAATCATTGTGTCACAGAAGATCAAATTTTTTGTTCAAAAATACAAATTAAGTCCATGAATAAGCCAGAGTTCAACTTAGCTTTCTAGACACTGACCCTGTCCCACAGTGCTTTAGTTATTCAATTTAGAAACAGCTTAAAACAGAGCAGAACAGTGTGGTGCACATTGTTCAGAGAGATTTGTGTGGTGGCAAATTTGACTCAGTGCACTCTGTTAACAGAGTCTCACCAGGCTTTTGACCAGCCCTCCTAAGAGATGTGGGAAACTGGAGGTAGCACTCTTCATTCAGATCCAGCTCTTTAAGCACAAAAGCGTTCTTGCAGAGACTCAGGGCTTCTTTGTTCTCTTTGTTTTAGAGCTTTTCCAAGCCTTTATCTGAGGCTCCACTCACCTCCACAGTTGCTGTCCCATTACAGTGTCACAGCAAAAGCAAAAAAGGCAACTTAGCTGTAGCATTCTTTTATTTTAGCTGTAACATTCTTTTATTTTTTCTTTTCAGGAACCTTTTTCTTTTATTTTCTTACTGCCTTTCTTTTTTGTTTAAAGAATCTTAAATCATACAATGGCAGCTACTCGTTATTCATTTTAGATTCATTATGGGTTATTTATGGCGTTGCTCATACCAACAATGAACTACTTGACCTGCATTAGTATTCTTAATGCTTATTTTGGCAGAAGTGAAATTGTATTTCTGAAAGGGCAGACATTTACCAGGTGCATTACAAATCTAGCTAGAATTTGAAAAAAATACAGTTGGCTCTTCTGATGCCTAAGTTAGAGCTTGAAAGATACAATGACTGCTATCAATTTCTCATACTGTGCAGATCATCACACAGAGTTTGGAAATGGGTGAATGTAATTCAGTTCTCATATGGTTTTGGTGTACTGAACAAGAAACATTTAAACACTGTAAAAACAGAACTGTCAACAGATGTTTTCAAATGTTGCTGAAGCCACTCTCTTTTGTACCAGGCAGAAAGAAATACAGTAAGTGAGCATCCCATCAGTCCCTCCGTGGAATGGATCACACACCATTAACAGGCAGTGCTTATGTGTCATGCTGGCAGCAGCCACATGAGCAGTTTTGAAAGACGGCATGTCCACAATCTCCTCATACTGACAGCAGACCAAGACCCATCACAGCAAGACCATGTGCATCTTTCTTATCTTCTTCTTTCTTCAGCTGAAAGATGAGCTTAGAATAGGACTTTAAATATTGTCTTTGCTGAACTAGCTACCTGAACCACTGTGAATATGTCAGATTCTCTGGTACCCTAAGCTCTGAGCAGAAACTGTTTATCTGGAGCTATAGAGTCCTCTGACTTTTCTCCATAGTGCCTGGGGCTCCTATTTTTCCCATGCATACCCATATCCTATAACTCTCAGGACCAAATAGCCCAAAGTGCTTATCTTGACCCAAGGCACAGAGCTCTGTTTTCTTGTCAATCAGCCTATTTCATGGGGAGGAGTTGGCAGGGAGATTAGTCTAATTCTTCTGATCACCAAGAAGCAGAAAAATATGTGACGTGTTCCAGTAAGATGTTCCTGTCTAACCTGCATAAGAACTAGGAAAATTCTCACTTTAGCTGTGTATGTGTAACGGTGAGAATTTCTATACTAAGTAGAGAAAAATATTCTGTCTTGGCAAGAAAAGCTGTTAACATCAAAGAGTCTGAATTTGAGTTCTCAGTATTTCTAAACTTATTCCCATGGTATTCCTCTTGCATACTCAATCCAGTGAAATGCTGAAAATGTTTCTTCTATTCCTTTGTATTTAAAAATGGATTGACAGAAAGGAATTTTTTTGGAAGCAGTTCTTAGAGATGGCTCATAGATCCTTTATATTCCAGGACCTTTGCCTTTGCCCATTTTTACGTTAAGGTAACAAAGTGAAGTGTCTTACGCTTCATTGCAAACTGATTTTCTCTTCCTTCTTTTTTAGTTTAATGGAGCTTTATAAAAAGATATTTGGAAAAAAAACAAAAAAAAAAAAACAAAAAATGAAGATAGCATTACTAAAAATAAATCCAAGCAAAGAACATGTGTTGAAGAGTTGCAGAGTCCTCTCAGTCCAGAAGAAAGGCTTAGTAAAAAATGTGCCTTTTTCTCAAGTCCATAACAATTAACTCAATAATAAATAGGAGCTTCTTAAGATCTGGGAAAAACTCCTATTATTGTTATGTGTCTCCACACAGGGGGGATGGGATGGGCAAATATCTATGCATGTTCACCAGAGTTTTGCCAAAAACTTCTACCTCAACCACTTAATTCCAGAATCTATCTTTCTTCACCCTCCTATGAGCAAGAGGAACCTCACATTCAGAAACGCAAGTGGAAGTGGAAGTGGAAGTGGAAGTGGAAGTGGAAGTGGAAGTGGAAGCGAATGCTGATGAATAATGATGTGGCATTCCAGAGACCCCCCACCTCAAAGGCCATCTCTAACTTCAGATAATAAGTTGTTCACAAAAGAGGGTCTCCAGCCAGTGTTGTGATAGGTATCTGATTAAAAGATCAGCAAGTTTTCATAATTTGACTTTGTGGGGCTGAAGAAAAGACTGTATATCATATACTACTCACAATCTAGTCTCCTAAATCCCTATGCCCCCTCCCCAGGCCACAGAACTGCAGGTGTGCAAGTGTTGTGAAAGCACCCCTAGGCTATGCTCTGGATAGGAATTAAGTAAATTATTAGGTCCTGAGACTCTTACTCTCTTTCCATACCTAAAACTCTTTAATAGCTTTCCTTTTCCCTCTCCAGAAAGGAGTAAAATCTTGGTCAAAATCCTGACAAGGCTGATGAACTGTTAGTCCAGTCTGTTGCAGTTCCAGTCACAAAAGAACACCACCTCACTTGGAAACTTCTCATTCTTGTTCCAGACATCAGCTCTCTCAGCTTTACTTCCTAAGAAGACCCATGCTGAGCAGGGGGCTTCAGTGCACTCATAGGGGCAGTAAGTACTGAGTTGCTACCCTGGTTGTACATTATGGAATTATTCCCATTTTGAAGGGAGTTGCCTGTAACTTCCAGCTGAGTCTCTAACAGAGGTTTTCACTTAATTGTTTGCAAAGCTTTTTTTCACTTTTTATAACAAACTACCTTTCTGAATTTTACTTCTCATCTTGAAAATACACCTTTTTAGTTCACTAAAGGTGTAGGTTCACTTTTCTCATGCCTCTGAAGGATCCTAATACCAGTAAGATCACCCAAAATACACAACAGAACTTTAGCAGACTTTGAAATGGTTATCTATTTTAGACTTACCCATAGAGCTTACTTTCCAAGAACATTCAGATTTCTCCTTTGGAAGCATACCGCTGTCACCAGCAGGGAGAAATGAACATGTTCCTCCATTGATCTTACTTGGAGCATTTAGGCCTCAAGAGAATGATCAATGTCAGGAAAAGCACCTGTCATAAAGAGTAAAAAGATGTGGTTGGAATGCAGTACTTCCAAAATCTTTTAATAGAAAAGCTGTGTAAAATGTTCTTGAGCAAGAGTCAACTTTAGGTTGGTATCTCTGTATTTTGACAGGAATTGCAACAAAGACCTGAAGGGAAATGTCTGGTTCAGTCAGGATGCTGCATGTTACTGCATTCAGAGGGACAGGGAGCAGGGAATTTCTTTACCTTCCCTGGATATGCTTACACAGTAAGCTGTTTGGCTTCTACCAGTTTAACCACTACCAATCACACTTGTCACATAGCTGTGCACGAGTTCTGCATCTACAGTAAAGATTTTTAGAGCTTGCTAACCACATATCTGCACTTGGACAACATATACAATTCCCACTAAATCACACAAATGGATGTTGCTGATCCATCTGTTTGAAAGTATGTTTAGTTATATAACCCAAGTTACAAGTACTTCCTCACAGATGAAGATATCTCAGCTTAGATAGCTACAGAGAGGGGACTGTGCATCTGAAACATCTCCACAACAGAAAATACAATGTAGGAACTGTACAAAACCTGTGCTTTTCTGCAGAAGTATGGATGCCTGGCAGGATTCCTTGGGGCATCACAAATGGCACTGAAATCTAGACTTAGACCACTGAACTGAACCTTACTGTCTACTTTCGAGTGAATATCTAGATATTCCTTAAGTCAATATGAGACCTATTTAGACTGGAGTTCAGAAAGCAGATCGGATGGCAAAATATAGGGATGTTAGGATTTATGAGTCTTAACTTAAAAAAAAAAGTGTTATTTTTGGTTGATTCAGAGTAAGAATCACAAGACAACACTCTGCTCCTAAATTTGCACTTGCTACTAATGTGAAGTGCCCCTTGAGATTCTTGTGCTGCTTTGATAAATACTTAAAATCAGACCAGGTAGAAATATGACTGGCTTTCCTTGGTACTATATAGACATGAACTTAAAATATTTTTGGAAACATATAATTTTTTGGAGTATAATACTATTTTGAAGCATTAGTAGTTCTTGTCTTACTTGTATTACTTCACAGTTTGGTTTATATCTATATGTAGATCATATTTTAACAACAGAAACAAAAATTTATCAAAAATTTTCAGTGCTCTTCTCCCAGAACCATGATATTTTCCCTAGTTTCTGTTTGGTATTGTTACAAATTAAATGTTTTTGCTGTGTACATGTGTCTCATTTGTTCATTTAATGGTATTTTTCTGTTCTACACAGACTCTCAACCCATACTCATCATCTAAGCATCTGAATCACTCTTCAAGCATATGAGTAGTATGAGTGGTATAGATCAGTCAGTAATCCCATGATTCTGCCTTATCTATTAAGCCCACCTCAGCTCTCACATTTTAACCACTTATCTGAGTCTGGAGATGAGTTTAGTGGACACCCCAGCCCAAAAGGCCCACTACCCCAGGATGCAGGAGCTGAATTCTGCATTATGGCAAAAAGCTAAGTTGTGTCACACTTTTAAACGTACCCTTAAGACTCTGAAACCTTTCCATGAGCATTGATGACACTCAGGAGTCTTGTGAGAAGGTGGTGCTCTGATGGAAGATCATATAAACAAACCCTTTCAGAGCTCATGCTGGTGTGTATTCAAGATATTCAGCTGTTAAGATCAAAAGATCACTCAAGGTTGATGCAAACTTCACATTCTGCTCTGCATAGGCCTAACTGAAAAAGGACTGGCTGACTGGTCCCAGTGCAGGCAGCAGGTATTTCTGAACTGACTGTACACAGGGAAAAGGAAACCTGTTTCTGTGTTATACCACAAGCCCCACAAGTTTATTATTATTACTCTTTTACTACGGAGAATTTTCAGGGATCTAAAGGAATAAATATATATATTTCAGCAATGGTTATCTGTTTGTCTACTCTGAGGAGAGGTGGCAAATTTTGAAAGAAATTGTGTCAATCAGAGAAAAATTATTGGTCTAAAACACAAAACACTTGTTGGTCAGTGGCAGGCATGTTCTTCAAATAATATTCTCCACTCTTAATGACCATTATCATGATAGGAGATCCCTGATCTCCACAGAGCAGACTGTACATTCTTAGTCCAAGGCTGCCACTAGGACACTGAAAGATAAGGAGAGACAGGGACAAGATTCTCACCTACTGTGAAGCCCTTCTAATCAACACTGTAGCCTATATGATGTCTTCACAAAGGAAGCTACATCCAGCAGGCCGATTCTTGCTGCCAGAAAGGTTGATCAGTACATGCCAGGGTTGTGCTGCTTCACTGATTGCCCTTGTTTCCTCAAAGGAGATGTAAGTGCACAGGCTCATAGCTGGTTACATTTCCTTTCAGAGATAACAAGGCTCCAAGGAGAAGGAGACAACATCAAAAAATCACAAGATCATCAGCCAAGGGGACGAGAACTGTCAGTCTTGTGACAGCCACAGTATCTCCTCTGAGAACTAAGGTGCAGTATCTGATAGCTCCATTTACCTGCAGCTTCCTCTTACACAATCAGCCCCTTCTTAGCAAGAGATGCCTTAAATGACCATCAAGCCAAGAGCTATAAATTTATATTACAGAACTGGGCACATTCCTTTCTACTTAGGTGTATACTTGTGATTGTCATGCTCACTTCTACAATAAGGAGCAATTCTTTACCATCTGGAGTAAGATAAACAATTAGCTTAAATATCTTTGAATATTTGATATTTTGTACAAAGTCTGGCAGAAAACATTTGAAATATAAACATTTACATTACCCATATCAGTTATTGCTTTCTCTCTTGTATACAAGACAGCTTTATTTGCAATAACTAATTTTCCTTTATCTCAGCTCTTTCAAAGTTATAACACCTCTGTATTAGGAGACTGTATCCCAAGGATTTCATATGTAAGTACAATTAAGACAATGTAACTCTTTGAGTTTTCCTCCAGCTCACACAAATTTTCAAACCAAATGCTTAAAGAGCTACTCCTTTTGGCAACACTGAAGCTTTTTAGTTTATTAGCTTTCTTGTTCCAGGAATCTCAGAGAAGTTATTTTATCAAATTAAATGCCATAAGTACACATAAAAAATATTTTATTTTCCATCTTGGTTAAAGTTGTAAATGATGATTGGGTCTCTCTGTTTACTTCCATTGTCAATAATTTTATTTTGTTAGCAATTTAAGAGAATACTAGCAGAAACTTTCCTTAGCAGTTTCCTTTCCAATATTTTGCTATTGTACAAAAATTAGGACCTTATAGTCCATTTGATTTCTCAATTGAAAAAAAAAAAGACATCTCTGATGGATTCATCTCTGGTAACCTGGCACCTAAAACTCCCTGTCTGACCAGGTGTATTTACCTACCTAACAATCCATGCTCCAATCCATGCTCCTATATGGATAGCAGGGAGAGAGAGACAGGCAGCTGCACAATGCAGTTTGTCACACTCTTTTTAAAAAGGTGGGATGATCTGCCTTCCAGTGGTCCCTCATATTGTCTGCTAACAAGCCAATTCAACAATTTAAATTGGAGCACATGTTTAGTGTCCTTCAACAATGTGCTCAGATGACTCTGGTCAAGTAGGAGGAATACAGCCCCAACAAAGCTATGTGATTTGAATAAAAAAGACAAGTAAGTGCAAGGTAACAAGAGCTTACCAGCAAAGAAGGAAGGGAAAGTGGCACATATATACTTACTAGAAAGGACCATGTCAAAAAAGAAAATATAACATCCATAAAGGCAAGACAGAGGAAGCTGTTTTCCTTGGCTATAAGAAGGATACTTCTGCCTGACCTAAAGAAGTGACTTTTCATTATAGTTGATGTGGCAAGTTTGATCTATTCTTTTGTTGGAATATTATTTGTATCACTTTTGGAAGAAGGAGCAGGCAAGTTGGAAGGACTTCAAGGATGTTGTGATGTTATGCAAGGAAAAAAATAGAAGGGCCAAAGCTCAGCTAGAACTTTGTCTGCTGACACAAAAGAAAACAAAAAAATGTTTCTACGAATCAGAAACACAAGGAGGGCTAAGGAGACTCTCCAGACTTTATTGGATGCAGACAGAAACACAGTGACAAAGGATGAGGAAATGGCTGATGTACATAATGTTTTCTTTCCTTCAGTAGAACTAGGTGTCCTTGGGGTACCCAGCCCCCAGAGCTAGAAACAGCAAGAGGAAGCACAATGAAGTCCCCATAATCCATAATCCATAGTACAAAGGGAACTGGTCAACAACCTGCTACACCACTTAGACCCACACAAGCTCATGGGGAGAGATAGGATCCACCCAAAGTTACCGAGGCAGCTGGTGAAAGTGCTCATCGGGTCACTTTCCATAATTAAGCAGCAGTCCTGGCTAACCAAGAGGCCCGATTTTTTTTTAATTTTGTAAATGGGACACCCATCTACAAGATGGTTCAGAAGGAGGAGCCAAGGAGCTACAGGCCTATCAGCCTGACCTTGGTACCAGAGAAGGCTACGAAACAAATCATCTAAATTGCCATCACATTGCATATACAGCACAACCGGGGAATCAGGCCCAGACAGCATGGGATTAGGGAAGGCAGGTCCTGCTTGACAAACCTCTATGAGAGGGTGACTTGCCTAGTAGACAAGAGAAGAGCTGTGGATGATTGTCTATCTGGAATTTGGGAAATCCTTTGATAGTGCCTCCCACAGAATTCTCCTGGAGAAACTGGATGCTCATGGCTTGGACAGATGTACACTTCACTGTCTGAAAAGCTATCTGGATGGGTGGGCACAGAGAGTGGTGGTGAATGGAGTTACATCCAGCTGGTGACCAGTCCCTAGTCAGCTCCTCAGGGCTCAGGGCCAGTCCTGTTAATATCTTTACTGATGATCTGGACAAGGTAATCAAGTGCAGCCTCAGTCAGGTCACAGATGACACTAAGCTGCACAAGAGTGTTGATCTGCTGGAGGGCAGGAAGGCTCTGCAGGGGGATCTGGATAGGCTGGATTGGCAGGCCATGTCCAGTGGTATGAAGTTCAGCAAGGCCGA